AGTCCAAAACTCAAATATATTCACATAACAGTAATAGAAAACAGATACATAATGCTTCATAAATTACTTAAATGACACCATTTGTGAATATATTCCAGTAGTTCACTCCTATTCTTATTTTAGTTAGTTAGAAAACTACATGTTCAAAATGTGCAAGACTAAAGCTAAAGCTAAAGCACGCACAACATCCATATATAGCACCCAAAACCACGTTTTGGTCAACAGAAGCACTAATCAAGTGTTTTAAACATCCATAACTGAGAAATGCAAATGGGAGAGAGGGAAGAGAGGGAAGGGGTGCTAAAGGAGGAGGAGGACGAGGGGGTGGAAGACAAGCGAGAGGCTTGACAAAAATGGAAGAAAAAAAAAAAGAGATGAAATATATGAGAGACACATCGAGGGGCATGTGGTGAAAGAGTGTAGACAGGGCCCCAGCAACACTTTCATTTTAGCATCAGTGAAGACAGTGGAATCAACACTAGTTTAAACACTTCCTGTGCGTGTTACATCTGCTAATGAACAGTACGGGAAGGCAGACCACAAATGAACATGAACCCCTGGCATTTTCCCCATGATTTACATCTGTGTGCTATTTTCTGTTTTTCCATCAATCTGAAGCTGTGAATCCTTCTATCTCACGAAGAGAAAGGTTAGAAAAGGTTGTGAAAGCTATTCAGTGGACGAGTGCAGCCCTCCAGTGTAACAACTCTGGCCTCAGATAAGAGCAACGTTATCACAGCTCAGAACATGAGCCTGTCAGACCGCTATCTGTCTGAAGAATCACCAAAATCAATACAGACCTTCAAATATCTGGTTTATTATCCTTTAACTACCCCCAGAGAATGACAGAAAGAGAGAATGAGAGAGAGATAGGAGACAGAGAGAGAGATGGCTTCTTCTTGAGGTTGTAAAGTAACAAAAGCTGTTCTCATCTTTTTTGTTTGCAACTTAACCCCCTGCCTACTTGCTTTATCTCATGCCACTCTTATTTTTGTCATACATTTGAAACGGTGACAGTCATTTGGCAGCCATGAAACAATCCGTCGTACTGTACAATGCATTGCATTCCTATCAGCTGAGACCTGCACATTTTAGTCAGGAAGTCATAAAAATCCTAACAAGGATCCTGAAAGAAGGGGGAACCTTCTTGGCCGGGGGGGTTTGCAACGTTCACAGTGTCCGGCAAAGGAACTATGCAGTATGTTGTTCCCCATCTCAGGTCCCTTATTTCATGTAATCTCTCTGTCGTCTGACTAATAAAGGCATATAATCCATAAAAATATGGTTAATAGAATACCAAATGTACAAATTCAACCAGGTGGAGGCAACTGTCTTATGAATTGAAAGTAAAAGATGTCAGGTATGTGTAAAGTAACAAAACACATTATTTACTTTAACAGAGACTGAATTCCCTAAAAGTCAGAAGGAACTACACACAAAAAAGATGTTGAATAATTTCTTTCTTTTGTTCTTCCTCTTTCATTTCCTCCTATATTGCCTTTGACCAGCAGGGCCAGCACTGCTGCTAGCAGCACAGCAGTTGGTGAGCGAGGAAGAAAACATGAGCTTTTCTTTCTTTCTTCCTTCCTTCCTTTCTTTTACAGTGATAATAAATTAAGAATCTCTGAGTGGTTGAAATGTTCAGGTTCCTGTTTCTAGGAACATGACACGCGGTCCAGTCCCAAACCACAGCGTGTAATAGATCAGCCGATCCACTAGGGGATACTTTGTCAGTGTCACGTTTTGCCACGCCTAGACGTACAAAGTACACAGGTGTATGAAGATGGCAGTCTGTGTAGGGGGGAAGTTGGTGGATGGATGGTTCCAACAAACACAAGACTGTCACCCAGGAGACCGCTGTTTGAGTGCCATGTGTAAAGTCGAAAGTCAATCTTGACTTGTCAGGTACGTAACTTATGATCTTTTCCTAAACCTAACAAAGTACTTTTGGCACCTAAACATAATCAGACTACAACCTCAGCAGGCTTTATTTCTAAAGTGTTACCAGATGTTGCATATTTATTATTGTTAACATGACTGAGGAAAGAGCACATGTTGAAAATGTGACACTGCCACAGTGGACTGGTGTGTGTATATTAAACGCTTTGGCGCAGTACCAGGTTGTGATACGCCAACAGCCTTGAATCAGGGCTACTGGCATCCGTACCCAAAATATAAGATCCCCCTTAACCCAAAACTGAAGACTTCCTGCCTTCATGTGCCCCACGGCCAGCTGCTTTCCTACCCACTCTCTATACCCATATGCTTCTCTGCTCTACCATAGCTCGTCTGTCTTCTTTAATCCTCGAGTTCAATTCAATGGTTTCAGTGCAAACACTCTGGTGACCCCACTACTTTTACAACTAAACAAAAGTAAGACACATGGGCAGAGCACCAGGCTGTGCACTTATTTATTTATTTTTAACCACCCACAAGGTAATGTATCACGATTCATTTGATTAATAGCCTACAACAGCAAAAACAATGTATGGGAACATTTAGTGTGCAGTTACCACACAGCGATCCCACACTGTGAACAACATGAAAAACAAATGGCCAGAAATAAAGACATAATAGAGCTGAGCTACCACCGAAACTCATTTAATGTGCACATAAAGCTTATTGGCTAACAAACACCGAATTTGATTATTGACGATTCATGGCCAATTATATTTCAAAGCTTTTTTATAATTTGGAATCGTGAATGATATTTTCTCCTTGTGTAGAATGAACAGTATGCTCATAGTATGTCACACAAGTCTTTTTTGTTTCAGTTTTATACACAAAGCATAACCAAATATCTCAAACATAGACAATTGGAAATGCCATTGGGCTGCAGGTATAGTTCTGTAGTCAGTTTGGGGATTCATTTTTTATTTTTTTAAATTAATTTTTACAATTTAATAGTGGTGCTAGCTAGCTACCTTATCAAAACTATTGGTGTGAAAGGCGACATCAAAGCACTGCAAAATATATGACTTGAATTTTTAAAATGGTTAAGCTGCACCAGACCTCTGAATGTTTTCTGAATGTGTACAAACGGTTAATGTCCACCCTCTCCTTCTCTCTTCTCTTTTTCCCCTCTTTCTTTTCCTCTTCTTGCAATCTCTCCCTTCCTTCATCATCACTTCTGTTCCACAGTTTGTCCCCTCTAACTCTACCTCCGTCCTGTTGTTCTGTCCTTCTATTTCCACCTTCCCTCCTGTCTTTTACCTCTCCTCCTCACGAGTACCAACACTTTATTATTCAGCAGGGCTTCACAGGGACACTGTGAAATCACCTATTTCACGGATCCCTTATCGAGTGTGACACTTCCCACACATCAAACGGCAGATCCTCTGACTCTTTCTCTCTTTCTCTGTCTGTCTCCCCATCGCCCCCGTCTCTCAGTACTTTTGTCTCAGTATCTCCTTTTCACCTTTTTACCCTTACAAGCAGAAGCACAGTCAAAACGCACAACCCAAAAACACAGATGTTTACTATGCTGATCAAAGTCTTCATTGGATAATTACATCTGTGATACAGAGGTGAGGCAGGATCAGAGTGTGTTAGACTGTACAATAAGGATTTTCCCGCCTCAAATGGTTTCATTTGCATGATTTTGGAGTCCTAAAGCGGTCAAATATTCTGGTAAAGCGAAATTAAAATGAGTGTTTTCCCTCTTTCTAATCCTGTTAATCATCACATTTATCTTGTGACCCTTAGAGAGGTCAGGAACCACTAACTTAAGATAAAGAAGGTCTGGATGTGATAGTTTGGTTCTGTGATGGGTCTGAACAATTACTTGTTAACAAATAGAAATAATATGAGTGAACTGAACTAATGGGCATGCTACCAATAAGGGTTAGATTTGCAGTCGTGCAGTGTATTTTATTGAATTTACTTGGCAAAATATTGTATTTTACGGTACAGTTAACTGTAAATGGTTCATCTGAACACTTTAAGCATTTGCATGTGAGCACACACGTTTGCACATATGTTCTGCAATCTGTATTCCAGATAATTGGAACAGCCAGACAGCACTATTGGTACAGCTGTTTAAAACCTGTCAACCTTCCAATGTTTCCAGTTTATTATCCTGTAAATGTTTTTCTTTTGAACTACCAACCTGACTCATTAAAATGGATCACACCATTTTGAACCAATCGCTATTATTTTCTCGAAACATTAATTTATGTGATTTTGGAATCACAACAATCACAAGGACATTTATTTTGTTTTGTTTAAATTAAGTTTCATTAAAGTCTTATGTTACATCTGTATTTATTCTTTATTTTTGTGTGCATAGTCTGCCACTATTTTTAATATATATGTACTGTATATTTATATGTGCTGCCTTATTGGCCAGATTAGTATATTTATCTAATGAAATGAAAACAGGCTCGTGCCCCGTTCATGCCAAAGAGCAGCACATTTTATCCGTCTGTGACTCTGCCAACCATGTGTAATCTAACATAATCCCTAATCTCCATTTGGTCCAGTGACTGGCTAACTTTAATCCAGCTACAACTCCAATAAACTGAATGTGAGTTCTGCAGTCTGGTGTAATCCATTCAAGCTTCTGACAGCCACAGTGACAACACAGTTAGAGGGCCGTCAGTACTCTTGACTGTCAGGCAACCGTATGCCTCTCTCTGTCTTTCTGTCTCTCCTACACAAACATACTGTATTCATCCCACTACTACTCATATTACTACTACTACTTCCAACTATTACCACACTGCCAATGAACCATCTGTTCAACAAATAGGAGCAAACACACTCCTTCAAAACATTTTTTTCCCTCCAGCCTCCCCTACAGATGGAAGCCCTGGGAAGTAGAGCATTGAGCTCATATTTTTCTCATTTCATTACGCTGTGTGCTACCCATTTCATTACAAGCAAATAAATAAACAACACAAGCACACACCTCATGTAAACATAAAAACTGGTTCCCAAAGCAGATGTGAATTTTAATCTCAATTTGAAAAGGAAATCCAACAAAGCTTCCAATATTTACAGCTACGGGGAGCAGTTGGATTCTTTCATTGTGCAATAGTAGAGTGCTCTTTTATGTTTGGTCGCTGCGCTGCTCACTTCAGTGTTGTTGGTTTAGGGTCTTGCTCAAGCATACTTTAATTACACAGATTTTCTAAACTGCTCTGGCATCGTAGATAATGAAATATTTCAAGCAGCTACAAGTGCACAACATTATACCGGCTGAAGTTTTCGTTTTTGCTTGGAGTTGATCGATAATAGTACTTCCCAGCTTAAATATAACATGTAAACTTGCAAGTCATCAGCCTGATTCATCACTGTTGATAGGCATGCAGAATAACACCTGCTACCCCATACACAAACAGCCTGCGAATCAAGAGCTTTCATTATGCTACCGATTTCTGCAAATCTTGTTGATGAAATGTACTGCTTAATTGAGGGGACCAAGCTGCTTTTTCAATGACAAATCTGGATGCAAAAGCAAAAAGCAAAAAGCTTTCCACTGTGCAATGTTCTCTCATTCACTGCAGGGATGGTACGCAAGGGAAAATTAATACAGTGACAGATTTGTTGGACAAATACTGTGATAATTTGATCATCTGGTGTCTTTGTTATCAAACCCAGATATTCATGCCAGGAATCTGACACACAGGTTGGTCTGTGGCAGTCTCAATAAAACAAGGGGGGAAAAAAGAGTCATGACAAAATGGTGATGATTTCTGTTGGGAAATTTAGAACATGTTTGAATGCTGGGGCTGGGGGGAACAGGACAGCTGTGGTGCTGATTGGAGAACTCATGGGGAGGCTATGATTGGCAAAAAAGCAGGTACTGAAAGTTGTGACAGATCTGGTGCAACATACCTGCCTGATTGGTTGTCACATTAAGTGACACATACTGCTTTGCGTGGTCTTTGGCCAGCTCTGACACCCCGTTGACAGCCTCCAGCAGAAAGCTGTAGTTGGTGTGTGACTGCAGGTCGGCCACCATCACAGAGGTGTTTGACACGCCGATGCGGCGTGGCAAAAAACGTACGTTGGGGCCGCATTCTTCCAAGCCCCTTCCATCTGGCAAGACCTGTCTGCACAGGATGTTGTAGCGCACATCCTTCCTGCCACCTGTTTCCATGGGGACAGACCACTCCAGAAAAACGCTAGTCTCGTTGACATTGGAAATGGCATTACGTGGAGCAGAAGGAGGGCCTGAGAGACATGGAAAGAGAGGTTAGAAAAACATCCAGTAATATCATGCATCTGGAGTACATGAAAAACAGAAGTATGCATGTGCAAATAAAAAGGTCTTATATCCTCACGTGTGCAGGCCATATTGGGAGGGTCAGAGTCAATCTTATAGTATCCATCTTCACAGCTGCAAGCAGTGGCTCCTGTCTGCCTGGCCACACTGTGGGGTGGACATTTACTGCAGGCCAAAGACTCCAGCAGCGAACGGTAAAACCCCACTCTGCAGACTGAAAGACCAAGAGGAAAGGGGGGGGGGGGTTGATGTCACAGGGTTTTTGGGGTTGGATCAAGAAAAGATGAGATGATAAGAGTAGACATACAAATAGGAAAAGGAAGGGGGTCATGGGGAGAATAGTAAAAAAGTGGGGGAGAGAAAAAGCAGAACAGCATGGTTAGTTCCTTTGAAAAAAAAAAAAAAAAGGAGGTCAGTAGAAAATTCCCTGGGTGGTGGAGGTTGTTTTGAGGTTCCTCATCAGAGATACTACAGTAGCTGCGGAGTTGATATTAAAAGCAGCATTTGTCACCTTGTTTTTGTGGTCACATTTGTATTGTATTTTTTTTTTTGTATTTTTCTTTGTTTCTTTTGAAGACTGATTTCTTCTCATCCCCCTTCAGGGATTATTTCTTTTATCCAACCTGTGCAATCCTGTTCTCTTTTTCATGTTTTCTTAACCAAAAAAAGTTTATTGTTAGGGGTTTTCCCACTTATTTATAGCCACAATTCAATTCAGTGATTTGTTAACAGGAATTTTGTTCTTGCATCGGCTGTACAATATAGGCTGACATTGTTTTGGGAATCCTGTGGGATTCCCGCGGGATTGGAGTCAGTTTGGGGCGGGCTATGAATCATACAGGTCAGTTACATAAATATGCAGTTCTAATATGAATAAACACAATTTACTTTATTTTGAACACAATGGTAGTCATTCTGTTGTCTTTTTTATTCTTCTTTATTCTCTCATGTCTGCTCTGGTGGCTGGTTGCTGGTTGGTTGCAGCCATTTGACCAGTACATGGCGTGTTTGGAAAAGCACAACACCGAATGGGGCGGGAGTTATTTTTTCCAGGATTGCGATGGGACAGGAGTGAAAATCCACTCACGTGTTAACCTCTACTGCACAATACTGTACCCACAAAGCCCCGTATGTGAAACATACAAAAAAATACAACAAGCAGAGAAACAGACTCTTCCTCCCACACAAACACACAGACAGGCGGTTGATCTAAGTGGGGCAGGTAGACAGCAGGGTGACACACTCAGAATGTTAACACGCAAGAATACATCAACAACCTCCGTTGCCATGGCTGCGCCCCCAAGCCAACCAATCACTGACTTATCACAGAATAATTTTCTCTCCGATTTTTCTGTTGCACCCAGACAGATACAAATAGACACATGCAACAGAGGATGAAACACGAATGGGATATTGGACTTGATGAGCAGAGTTCCATAGATTACTATTACATAGATTTTGTGTAGTCAATGACATTTTTGACAGAAGGGAGGATGCCTGTGAGACGAGTACAGGACAAGAGAGAGGAGATGTTTCATCCATGTGTGTCCTCTAAGACTCTAAGGATAGGAGCAGTTATTTTCACCCATCGTTTGTTAACGTGGCTGTTGTAAAGCCAATTCAAGCTCTGACTGTGATTAAGAGCTACATAATTAAACTTCGGGCAAGAAGACAGGAGGATAAAGAATGGGAGAGGAGAAAATACGGGAAGGTAAAAAAGAAATAAAATGGGGAAAGGGAAGAGACAAGATGAGGTAGAAAGTCAAGTTTACGAGGGTAGATGGGGATAGAAAAGAGGAGAGAGGATGAGACAAAGGAGGAGTGGAGTGTGGAGTGTGTGTGTGCATGTGTGTGTGCGTCTCAGGCGTTAGGCAGCGGTGGCTCTGATTCCCCTTGACGGAACCTTGGTCCATTGTCATGGAACATTAGGCCTGAAAAATTCTCCCTCTGCCCTGGATCGCTCTTGTGTCTCACCTCTGCTTCACACACACACACACACACACACACCACCTACACACACACACACACACACAACACACACACGTCTTTGTTTTTGTTAATATTACAGGAGACCAGAACATGCATACTGAGAACCACCATGTATGAGGCGTTTACAGCACTGGGGAAAAAAAAAAAAAAAAATCTAGCAGTTTCCTGGAGCACACATGCAGGAAAGCCTTTCATGTGTTTAGCATGTAGGATGCCACACATACCCTAATTATGAGTTGAGGCTGAAGACATTGCTTTTGCGGCATTCATGAAGCTGGCCTAGTTTTGAATGACCACAGTAATACATTTGATAACTCATGCTCAACAAAGCCGTGACAACAATGTATGCCTTTAGGGTTTATTTTATTCAGTTGTGAAAAAATGGTCTAAACGGTTTATTTTTGCTTCCCTTACATTCGTTAAAGGAATGAATGTAAAAACATCCATGCCTGTTCTATTGATGGTTACTTATTTACTGAATGTAGGTTTTGTGTTTAGTATTGCATTTATATTTACTTCATTTCAGTGTTGCAGCTGT